CAGCTGATGGATCCCTGCCCCACTCTGCATAAAGACAGCTTCCCTGAGGCTGCCCCCACCCCTGCTGCATTTAGAACTAAATCCCAGATGATCCAGATTAGGAAGAATTAAAATCCATATTAAATACCACTGCCATTCAACATGCACACCAAGAAAATTAATATTAGTAAACCACCCAGGTTTGTGTAACAAACCAGGCCTGTCTAACTGATGTAAGAAGTCTAAGAAATCATAGAGCAACAAACTAAAATGAATATTTGCATAATCCCCAGTAACAATTATGTTCCCCCTGATCTTGAGATGCATTCCTCACAGGTCTGTGGAAGCTTTGTCTATTTTTTCCCTTTGCTGGTCTTCTATTTTAGGCCTTTTAAGAAGAATTGGAGCAGTATTCTGAAGAAGTGCTGTCAACATCAGATACACGTCTTGAGATTGTTTTAGGCTGTTACAGTTTTCCCATTTCTGCTTGACACTAGATGATAATCTTGAATTGTATCAATCATTCTATACATGCATAAAAATCTTCGCTCTGGATAAGTTGTTTATCATAGCTCCTTTGAATTATTTCTAAACATAGCCCAAATCCATACCAATCACTTGCACAATTTAAAAAAAAATGTCTTGCACGATATGGTTTACTCCGAGTATATTAAAGCAAATCTCACAGTTGCATATATCATCAGCACAACCAATGAAAAGAAGAGCAGTCATTAAAGCAATATTATAAGGTGAGCAAAAAGGAAAACAGTTCATCATCAGGGGCGGCCCGTCCATATAGATGAACTGGGCGGTCGCCTAGGGTGCCAAGTTAAATGGGGTGCCAAATGGTGGCGCAATATCATTGAGGGGTTTGGAGGAGGGGGCGCCAATTGCATGGTTCATCTAGGACTCCAGTTGCTAGCAGCTAGTCTAGGGCCACCCCCTTCATTAGTTAAGAGCAAGTAGGCCATTTCATATTTAGATTTCACATACATGCTGTGGATAATGGACTTGAGTCTTTCAAAAAAATTAAAATTATTAAAAGTATCTTATACAAAGTTTCTTAGATAATATATTTTCTGATTCCTCACTGATAAAATACATCTGGGAGAGGGGAAACTTGGCAAAGTTAGTGCTTCAAAACAGAAAATAGATGTTAAAGATAGAGAGGGAATAATTATCTTATTTTGAAGATAGAAAGAAACTAGCTGGAGCTTTGATGAACACTATAGGTTAAATTCTGCCTTTTGTTACACTATGTAATTCTGGAACAACTTTATTAACTCCAGAGAAGTTAAGTTGAAATTATACTAATGTAGCCTAGTGCAGAAATTGGTCCTGGAGCTTTAGATCCTATTCACCTGGGGGGGGGGGGCTAATTCAACTCTCAGAAATCCATAAGAGCAGGTCACCCTCACATCATAAGATGGAAGAATTGCTTCACAGGAATAGTCCTCACTAAAATGTGCTGCTTTTTAATACTGGTGAAAGAACTCTACCCTAGAATGTTATGCAAAAAGTTCCATGGGTATCAATAGGACATATATGCACAGAATAAGCACAAAGAAATTATTTAAGCATCCAGCGAAGAAAGTGTTTAAGATCACCATGAGGTGGATCATTTGTGCTAGAAGCCCATCACTTCATTGCAGAGGAGATTTGAAGGGAAATCTAACGAACAGAAGTCATTTTGGAACAAGCTCTTGAATAGTATCACTGTCATAAAATACTGCAGGAGAAGTAACAGAAATACCTGTGATTTAGCCCTTAAGCTGGATTTTCTCTTGTAGGTGTTTGAGAGATGAAGAGAGATTTCAAAGCAGGTGTTCAATGTTGATTGGACAACAAGTCTGTGTCTGGAGTGGGGGGAAGCAAAATAGTTTAAGCACAGTTAATTCTTCTGCATAAAAATAACTACCAGAACATTTTTTCCAAAAGTTTTTATACTTATAAATCATCATTCTTTGGTTGAGTGTGTCAGTTCCACTCACTTTTCTCCTCCCAATGACATTGGAACATTTTTAATAGTGGGAGATGACAAAAGCCAGTCTCTTTAGCCTTGCCCGCCCCTCATACTTCTAGAGCTGGGGCCTGGAGCAGGGCTATGTCTGACTCTGGGAGAAGAGGTTCTTACAGAGGTCAGGGGGCTGACCCAATGTGGAGACTGATATTCTAGACACTGGACCCCATGCAAAACCCAGGGGGTGCTGCAGCACCCCCATTCCCACTCCCATCTCTCTATATTTTCAGTTGGAACCTTCCAAAAGGTATTAATAACTACTTTCTTCCACTCCGAGAAACCTGAGGAAATTGTGTTGAATACAATTCAATGTATGCTATACAGGAAAAGTGCTTTGGAAAAATATTTCAGTTCATAAAAGTTTTAGGAAAATTAGTCTTAATGTGAGGTATACATCATTCATGAACTAGGCACTTAATTTTTATTGCCTTGTTGGTTAACCGAATTGCTTTATAACTGCTAGCAATTTTTCATCAAAACAGAGAATTAATTTGCCACATTTTTTTCCATTTTGCTCCATTGGAAAGTATCACAAATACAGACATGAGATAATTGTTGTATGATGGAATTTGTGCTAGCAGTTTTATTGTACAAAAGAATTGCTGTAAATTCAGAGTAGAATGATATAAGAACACCACCGAGGAAAGTGGGTAGAATGGTTCAATGGATTAATGTAATTTAGCTAACTGATGGGTTATTTATCTTCTTGTGGTAGTGTGAGCCAGTGTAATAGCAACCTCTCTGTTCTGCTTCACAGAGGATAGGAGTTGATAGAGTCTGCACCTAAGGGTCTTAGCTCAAATTTTAGCATCTTTTGCTTTTTAAGGCCTAGGCTTTCAAGTAGGAAGTCCCTTGTTCAAACCCTTGTCAGACACAATGGCAGCTCACAGTAACAGTTATGGATTCCCGTCATGGATTATGGCCCCACTGTGATGAGAGTTGATCCTGCACATGTAACAAAAACATGGGTCCCACTATGAAGAGTTTTCTGATTTCAGGGAAAGTCTGCGTGTCTTGTCCTGCATTGCTTACTCAGGTCACAATCAGTGCTCGGGGGGAGAGCTGTCCAAGTTATCTGCTCAGCTGCCACCAGTTTAAGTAGCATGTGTCCCAAGTCACAATGCCACTCACTGAAATTTGGTCCAGCAATCCCTGTCATTGTGACAAGGGTAGGGGATGAGCTTCAGTGAGTGTGTAACTCATTGCAATCTGCCTCAGGTTTTCCTCTCCTGTCCCTCCATCAGAACAAAGACACAGGCAGGTGGGCCACATTTCAGTGCAAACTGCTGCATGGGGTAGCAACACCACTCAGATATGGCCTGGTCCCCTTCCACTGTCCAGTCCAAGATGGGGCTGGGCCCTCTACCCCCCTACTCCCATTGGCTATGGTAAACACTGCAGATGTTGGAACAGCTAATACCAGACCCCTACTATTCACTGTTCAGATAACTACTACAATTTATCTTCGCCACAAGAATGTCAGCCACTGAAATTTGTCCCATTCCATTTGTTCTGGTATCTCCTCACTTTCCTCTAATGTATGTAACCTCCCACTATGTAAAACCTCTAAGGAAAGAGCCAATATAGCAATTTTCCCCTAAAAATGTTAGAAAATGTACATGAGAAGGTAAGGTTATCAAAAATCCCTCCTTCTTTCTTTGTGCCTACAGTTATACACAGATGCAACTGATGTCATTTAGATGTCTATGTACAGTATCTGACATGCAGGTGGGTAGGTTATCTAAATAGCATTTATTATACTAGTACCGAAGTATGGGAACAATAAAAGAGGCCTGGTTAGAATGCTCTCCAGACATCAGTCCCAGAGTAGAAATATATTTTGTCACTTTTATAACAATATTAAGAATATATACTCAATATCTTCTCTATCCCTCCTTTCAAAAATCTTGGCTATTTTGGTAGTACTTCCCAGCCAGAGTGAGGAATGCAGCAAACTGTGTACTTTCCCCTCACTCCCTGATGAAAGGGAACAGTCAGAAATGTCCCCCTATGAATTGGGGGGGGGGAGGAATTCAGCCCCACCCTCACTAAAGGGTGCTTGGAGGATGGGAGGCTTTGGGCTGGAGCAGTCCCAGATGGGAGCCTGCCTGGTGATTCTGTCTCATTTCTGTATGGTTTATGAGAAGCAATCCCATTCTAGGCACATCCCATTATCTTGGCACAGCTAAACCTTTGCCTTGCTTTAAGTTATGATAAGAGGAAGCTGAATACTGAATTTGGTGACCCTATATTTCAGGTCTGTGAGGGTAAGGCACTGGCATGTTGGGATGTTTTGTCTACTTAGAGCATCCACAAAATATGGAGTCATGCAGCTTCCAGTATCTGCGATTTGCGGCTAATGGGAGCTGCGTGAAGTTGTGGTCAGCATGCCCTTCAGCCCACACTGCTTCCTGTAGCTCCCGTTTTCCAGACTGGCAAAGTTGGTAAAAGGTGGAAATCTATAAAGCCCAAAATTAATCTGGTCACCCAGTGGGTCAAGGATGCATAGGAGTCCATTCTAGGGAAGTCAACGTGTAGCCGACTACATGATTAACCAATAAGCCTGGGCTTATCAGTTAATCCTCTTGACTACATGCATTCCCCCCCCTTGCTGCCCCTGTATCAGAAGCAACCAAGGGGGGTGAGGGAGCCAGTGCCCCCCACCTGCATGTTGCTGCCTCTGATAGAGAGGCAGCAGTGTGCATGGTGAGGGGAACGGGCGGGAGCCGACACATATAGGGAGCCAACTTTTAAGCCGACTTCATGCGTGCCGGCTCCATGGACCTGCCTGCACCCTGTCCCTTGCTGTCTCCTATAGAGGCAGGGGGCAGGCAGGAGCTGGTGCTGGGAGGACCCAGGTTAAAAGTGGACTCCCCCAGTACTGGCTCCATGAAGCTTCTTGCCTCCTACCCTAGCTGTTGCCTTTTTCAGACGCAGCAGCACGGGAGGAGGGCAGGGGAGGCTGCCAAAAAGTAGTCTCTTTCCACAGTGGACCTGGGCCCGCTGTAGACAGAGGCTGCTCCATGGCAGCAGCCCTTCTCCATGGGGGTCCAAGCTCCCCGCCAACAGGGACTGCTGCATGCTCAAGCAGCTTTTGTCAGTGGGGAGCTCAGACCCCACCAGGGACAGGGGCTTCCACCACCCTGTGTTGCTGCCTTAGTGTCAGAGGCAGCAGCATGGGGAAGCAGGCAGGAGCTGGTCTGCTCAGGGAGCTGGTTTTTAAACCAGCTTCCCTCATGGACTGGGTCATGCCTGCCCTAGTGCCTCTGATACATAGGCAGCACTGCAGGATGACGGGGCTCCTCAGAAGTGGAGATGGAGTGGACTGGCTGCAGGCCCCACTCCTGAGGACTATCAAATAGTCATGTCACCATTAACATTTCATGGTGACATGACTATTCAATTACACTCTACCTAACATCCCTGGTCCATTACCTCAGAAATGATAGAGGGGGAAAAAAATCACTTTGGAAATGCTGTATCAGCAATGTACTCAGCAGGTCAGAAGATGCATCATATTTGCTGGTGACACAACGGAGGCAGATAACGAGAAGGAATCCGAGTTTGAAGATGCTGCTGCTGACGCCGCTATGATGACAATGCAGATGCAGCTATGACTGAATCAGACTTTAATGAACTGTTTGGTGAATTGGAGGCGGAGTTGGACTTTGAAGGATTTTAATAAATATATTAGAACTACGAGAGACTTTAAAATCAGTGTATGGATATTTAAAACATTGACTGTAATTCTGAGGGTATGTGAATGCATATTTGTTCCGTTATTACAGCCACCGATTTTTCATTAGATTACACTAAAATAATTCTAGCAAAATTTTTGCATGTTTCTTGTGATGTCAACTTTTAAAATAAAGCAGGGGTGTGACGGCGCGTTGGGGTCCCCCGTCTCTTGCACCCCGAAATGGCACAAACAGACTGCACCAGCCAGTAGAATTGAGGAAGTTTATTGCCTCTCCAGGATACAGCACAGCACAGATGTAGTCTGGTCACAGAGCTGGGCTAGGATGCCTCAGGCCCCCTTGAGTTGGGGGGAGACTGGGCCCCTAAACTCCAGCTCCTCTCCCTAGGCTGTCTCATCTATCCTCACAGACAGCCACCAACCAACTAACTAAATTCCCTTCCAGCCCTGCCCCCCAGCCAGGGCAGCATTCCACCTTCCTTTGTTCCTCTCCATGGGGGGTGTCTGGCCACTGGTTCAACAAGTTTGGCATTACCTCTGCCTAGTGAGGTTTTCCCTGCTGGGTCTTGCTCCAGACAGCAGGGGTCACCACAGCCCAGCAAGTACCCCCACTACGTCACAAGGGGTCTGCAAATTTTGGCTCCTGGCCCATTGGAATAAGCCTTTGGTACACCAGGATGTTTTATTTACCTGGAGCAGCCACAGGCGCAGAGCTCCTCAGCACCTCGCAGCTACAGTTCACCATTCCCAGACAACTGGAGTTACAGGAAGCGGGCTGACACACATGCTGGCTGCCATCGCCAACTCCTGTTTACCAGAGGGATTTTCTTCAAGGAGGAAGGGGTGGGGGAGGGAATGGCTGTTAGGAAAAAAAATATGTATTATTGACATTTCTGTGGTAGTTGTATCACTGTCCCTTTTTTCATAGAAAATGATTCCCAGGAAGGATAGCTGTATAGGTAAGGCACTGGCTGGAACACAGGAAATCTGGTGTCAGTTCCTGGCTGTGCCACAGACTTCCTGTTGAGCTAGGCAAGTCACTTAACCTCCAATTTTGTTTCCCTGTATGTTTAAAAAAAAAAAAGAGCAATAATAGGACTTCTTTTCTTCTACCATTTGTTTAGAATGTATATTAAAATAAGGAGTTTTTTTAGGGGAGGAGGACATGAGTCAGATTGATTTACTATCAATGTGTACACTGCCTAGCTAAGCAGGACCCCTGTCTTTGTTGATGCTGTTCAGAGCTATTGTAATATAAATATGATTTTGGTGAAAAATAAGTCAAATATGTAGCTGTCCATGCTAACAAGTAATTTTATAAACAGTGGAAATGACTGTCTGTCATTCTATGCAGATGGGTATAGTAGGATTCACTGCATGGCAGTTTTACAGTCCTGTAAGTTTTTTTTTCTTAACATGTGAGCGGAGTACAGTCCTTGAAGAAATATATGCAGTGCTTCAGAGATGAAGCTGTGTGTGCATTTTGCGGGGGCTAGAGGTAGAAGAGCCATGGCAGGCAGCAAGAGAATTTACTGTCTGCCTGAATCTCAGCAACTGGAGTCAATTCTTGGGGAAGAATTGCTTCCTGGAAAGCAGACCTTGAGTTGTTGGACTAAGATCCTTGAAAGAGGGGGTTTCCTGTGTGTTGTTCATGACCCCCTGATTCAATGGACGATGTATATAAATAAAACACATGCTAAGCAAATTTCTAGACTCACTATCCTGAAATTTGATGGAATTTTTGCTCCACTGCTCAGCAGAGTGGAAGCCATACTTACATATATGCAAATAGACAAACTGGATGAAGTAATCTGTTTTACTGGACCAGCTGGTCTCTCTAATATCCTGGAACCAACATGGCTACTACAACACTGCATGCATATATGCAGATGCACAGGCATTGTGTTGTAATTATGGTTTATAAGACCCTGTGGAGGCTTTTTATAATTTTTTCCAAAAGGGACTTTGTGGGTTGAAATTACTTATCCCAAAGTTTGCATTTAAAAAAAAAAAAGAGAGAGTTTAGTAAACCTTCATTTAACCTGGCACCTCTTGTCTTGGCAACTGAGTGTGAATTCCCTGCTCCATGCCCATTTAAAAATACACTGAATGAAAGACACAATAATAGCATAACAGTATGGTTGAGGTTGTAATAATTCCAATATAAGGAATAGCAACAGACACACTACAGATATTTATTAAGACATGAAAACCAACACCATACAGAACCAATACAAGACACAAATATGACGTAACTCAGGCAGACTATAAATACAGTTGCTATGGGAAACCTAACTTTGAATTTCCTGAACTGTGTGTGTTTAAAATCTCAAAGCGCAGGGTGCGAGGGGAAGGGTGTTTGTTTTAATCTTTTTTTTTTTTTGGCACATTACAGCAGCACGAACAAACGCAGGTGCTCAAATAAACAAATATTTGCTTCTGATGATTTTCCTTTGGTCTTTGTATCTTACTTTAATATTGCTCTCTTTAGAAAGCCCTAAGTGACCCTTAAGCTTAAATACAACCAGCCAAACTTTTATCCCAGACACTTAAGAAGGAAAATGCGGTAATGTCACGCAAACGTGATCCAGTAACTTAATTGGAGCCAAGTTAGCAAACTCAGAGGCAGTAAATCGTTTGAGCTTCCTTTTTGTGCCTCTGAATGAAACCTTGTTAACTTGCATCAGAGACAGCAATCCATATGTGACAACTCGTAAGTCTTTCAAAGAAAGGATACTGAAGATCAACTGGGTTTTAAGGAAAAAGCGTAAATATCAACCAATGCAGGAACCCAACGAGTTAACCTGCAGCACCATACGAAAGCAATTCTGAGACACGAATCAGTAATCAGCCTTTGAAGGAGCCCTGCGCCCTCTTCTGGAAAAGAGCCTATGATGGAAATTTCCTTTAGAAACCAGCTCGATTTGAAGAATACACAGTATCAGACGGACTGCATCTCACTGTGATGAGAATTCATTTTGCAGAAGGGAAAAACTCCCGTTGCTTAAGCTTGTTAGGTGTATTACGCCCATACATGATTCTGGTGCGCGATCAATACACTTTGGAGCTGGTAAAGATATGGATGAGTGGCGCTTTCTTGTATTGTTGCTTTTAAACACCTGCCCTCGATTACAGGTTATCTAGTTCAAGAGAGAAATACGATCTGGGGGAATAATATACGCTCTCGAAAACCAGGGAATGAAGTGAAAAAAGCTATTACTATAGACTGCTATCAAAATCTCACACAGTGGTGACTAATAGGTTTTAAAATCTTGTGTGTCCATTTTCTGAGTCTGTAGAAAATACTTACTAACCTATATTAAAAAAAAATCAAGGCTGTAGATTTTTTTCTCTTAAATTATTTTAATACTAAAGTGACCCTGAAAAAATACTGAACTAGAAAGTACTAAATTTCAAACTCTCTCTTTTCGTTACAGTTTAAGAATAACTTGTAACACATTCAGTTTAACAATCCTTATCACTTTTCTCGGAACCAACAAGAGTTTTCTGTTCAGAAAGGGGGAAACGCCCTTTTTATGTAGTTTTAAAATGGAACAGGCAGTGATTAAACCATTAACAGTCATTTTCTAGCAAGCATTTTATAAAATTAACTACAATGTAAGGGGGAAGAGAAAGCTGGATAACAAATCACAGGACCGTTCTTACCCAGGAAATCCTTAGAGCCGATTTAAGAAAATGATTTAAAAAGGCAGACTAGAATGGCAGGAACGCCGTTTCTCAGCTCATACTCTTTTTACTGTTTAGTTCTAGTGTTGAATAAGACGGCCCGATTTCCAGTAAACACAGCCTGCGAACCCAGGCTTATTTACGAGACGTTTAACAAAATGCAATTATGCAAACTCGCTTTCCTCTGTGCAAAAGGACAGAAGTGGAAACCACCCTCCCCCCCTTCCCCGTGCACGCACCTTTGTGTAATTAGGCGTAAATACATACGATATTTTTGATAATGAAACCGTCTAAGTGCATAGTTTTGAGATTGAGAATTTTTCATTAATACATTTTAGTAGATAAGGTGCTAATAAGAGTTTTAGCCTGATTTGTGTATGTCTGTTGCTCTCATTCTATTCAAACACACCAGATTAGCTTTCTTCTCCGTTCAAAACCCTTTTAAGGAGATTTATCCTCAATATACATTTTTTCTCTCTCCTTCCAATAATATTAGAAAGTTTGAGAAAATAAACATCAAATCCCTTATGACCACTCTACTTCTGGACACTAACCAAAATGCTGAAAGATTTCTTCAGGCAATGCATTTCCAGCATTAATATGATATCCGTTAAAACCTAAAAAGATTTCATCTTTCCAGTCGTGAACATACTCACTATGTAACGTTATGTTTACATATATATGCAGCCCTTTATCAGAAATACGTATTAATAATTTTAAAAGGGAATTTTGTGTTTCCATTAAAGGTCCCAATCCATAGGTAATACAGATATCAACACAAACTATCACCGATTATAAATAGGAAAGGTCATGAGCAAGCAGATTTGGCCTATTAATATGAGTCAGGAAGAGAAACAAGCTCTGAAGACAACGTGGGAAGTTACCTTGGGGAGTGAATTAACAAGGAACATTTAAGATGCAGTCGTCGAAAAGTTCTTCAGTATGTGCGCAAACATGACGTGTGCCATTCTCACGCAGCAGAAATTTGGACTAACCGTCTAATATAATTTTTCTGCGTGTTATTTTGTTTAATAACTTGAATCATTAGTAAAAAAAGAAAACCCCGTGAATCCAAGGGGTAGCTGTGTACTCGGAACTAATCAACATTATTAATCGTAAACGTTGAGCTGCTGCCAGGGTCTTTGTTTGAACAGCACACGGGATCTAATTAAGGTCTTTATTTTTACTTTGAAAAGATTGGAAAGCTTTTAAGAGATGGTTTCAAAACTGCTGGTACCTTAAAACCCCAATGCCTTTTAGTGAGCTCTGTAGATACCCAAGGGTTTATCACCTATCCCCTCCCACCACCACCCAGCGATTAGCAAGAGGCACATTTAAGAAAATTTGATTTCCTATTTTGGAATTGCACATGCCATATATTACTTTCATCTGAGCATACTGTCTGTTCATTTTTAATGGAATATTATAAAATAAGTATGCAAATGGAGACATTCAAGACTCCCTAGGAATACATTAGTATAGATGTATACTACGATAGATGTATCGTTTAACCCTATAACAGTCACACTAATGGAATATAGCATGTTAGATTTTTATACTTAAGCCAAGCTAACTCGTCACTGACCTTGGAGAGAACGGAGATGTTTTCAAAATGTACTCCAATGATTTATGCGGGTCGGTCAATATTTCTGTAACTCAGAAATATTTATGTGTTTTGCTTCTTTTTTAAACGTAAGCTTCTCTTCAGTTTTTAGTTATTTCCAATATTTGCATTGCTGTTTTAAGGGCTCGATCCTGTTCCTTTACTAAGTCAATGGCAAAAAAACCCCAAAACCCATTGATTTAAATGGAAGCAGGATGAGAGAAGCGCTGCTGAAGTTCCCTGGAAAAAAACAGATTTTGTCCTCTTCCCCTCAGTTCAGTCTTTGGAGAGACCCTCTAAAAGGTCCAAATACAAGCTAATTATCATGTCTTGGCGGACTGAGCCCGAGCATACCTTCCTGGACAAAATACTCTGTTTTCGGACATGAATTTGACTGCATCCTTTATTACATAGAAACGACAAACCTCTTCTGCCCTCTCTGCAAAAATCTTTGATTTGTATAGCGCTGAGGGCGTTAGGAGCACTCCAGCGAACAGAGAAGACATGCATTGCACCTGCACCCTTTAAGGACTTTGTCGTCTCCATTTGCCTGAGGCCCAACCCTTCAAATCAAGTCCAACTAAAATCGATGGTAGCATGTGTAGGCTCACACTTTTTAAAGCAGGATGTTCACATGGATAACCAAATCAATTAATATGCTTTTTAATGTTATTTTTACCTGTTCAAGAAGAAAAAAGACAATTTTGCAGCCTTATAGTCTAAATAAACTACACTTGTTCCTCACCCATATTTTAAATGAATTATTACAATAAAGATCCTACACTATTAACTGCCTATTAATCCATGAAGATTATGCATCTCAACACATATTGCCAGTCTCCAACCTTAAAGGGGAATTTATCCAAATAAGTAGTGAAGAGTGGTGCTCAAAGATAGAAGAGGCAAACATTTAAAAAATGTAAATACTGAAAGCAAAGCTCCTAAATCCATATTTGGACACTCAAAATAAAATTATTTTTCATAACTGCTGAGCACCCATCTTGCCTGTTGGCTTCAGTGGGAGCTACTGGTTACCCAGCAACTGTGTTTGTGGGGGAGGGGCAGAGATCAGATTTTTTTTATTTATTTAAAAGGCCTAACTTTCAGCACCTGCTATGAAAATTTTGGCTGTAAGATTGTTCAATACAGTTCTGGATTCAGAATAGCCAGCTCAGGAGATGAGACAAACTAATAGTGAGACTACAGAAGCTGTGTGCAAAAGCTGTGGCATGTATGTAACATACTATAATGAAAGCTCCCATTGGTATGATTTGCATTCTATGGTCCTGATCCTGCAAAGTCACACATGAGTAACTTTATGGTGTTTCTACAACTATCAACAATGTATAAAGTTTATAAAGAACTTAAATGTATACAGTGTGTAAAGAACTTAAATCCCAGTATATAAAGAACTTAAATGTATGTTGAAAACTTTGCAGGATCAGGGTACCTCAGTTCCAGAGCAATAGTAACTCAGTATCAGGGCCTAAGCCTTAAGGAACAATGGCTGTAGATCTGAATTTTACAGATAGCTCCAATGTTTCTATAAAGGACTGAACTAAAAGCTCTGGGATCTCAATACTCCTGAATTTGAGGCATATGAAATCAAGTTTGGCTCTAGACCGAAAAATTAAGATGGGTCTTTAGTAAAATCAGTTCCATCAAACTCACATGGAATTGAAGCCACAAACTTAATACAACTTCAAGAAAATTGTAATTTTTAAACAATCGGATTCATGGGCTCATTCTGCTTCAAAAAGCCACCAGGAGTTTGGTTGTCCAAAGGAAGCAGGATCAGGTCCATATGAGGTGTTTTTTTTCTTTGATTGCAAATCTATGAATGAAAATATAAGAAGCAAAAAATACAATATTTTCTATATGTTCTTTGTAAAGAAAAGATTAAGTCCCCAGTTCAGTAAAACACTTCAGCATGTTGTTAAGTACTCTGCTGAATCACTGCTTTTATTTTGTTCCCTTTGCTTCCATCTGGGAATCCTTTACTTGCCAGTTTTTCCACAATTTTTCTCGTTTCCTACACAACAAAGCACGTACATATTAGGGTGTTAGGCCTCTAAGAAATGCCTAAAATAGATATTTAAACATGGAATTAAGAATTTGATTGAGGATTTAAAGAGGTGTACAGGGAATAGATATTTTTATGCAGTAATTTCTTTAATCAAATACATTTTGGGACAAATTCACCATGGACATTATTCAAAGGTAATGAAGTTACTGCAGGGCTCAGAGTGCAAGATCTTCAGGGACCAGACTGTGTTACATGTGTATAGTGACTAATGATCTGGGTTAGCACATGGTTTCAATCCTAGAGGACCCAACCAAGAATCAAATGCAATACAAATTAATATAGTTTCATTCTGAACTTGCCCTCGTTGTAATGCATTTCTGATAATAGCCCTTCCCCTGACTAAAGATTATGCTGTCAAGCTATAACATCACTTTGCGCTCCAGCAAGGAAGTATTTGGTTGTAATGAAGAAAGCTTTATGCAGTCTGACTTAAAAAATAGTTCAGGGGTACATGAAACAACCTGTGTACGTTTCTTTTTATCCGTATTTTCATTCAGTTTTGCCAATGAAATATCTTTCAAAATAGAGTGTGTTTTGTTACTCAGATGGTAAAGAATGGAGAGAGAGGCTCTGAATTTTCACATATTGATTAGTGAGGTAGAATTTAATAAATTATGCAGGTTATAAAGAAAAAGACCCTACATCCCAATATAAGGAAGTCTTTGAAATTTGGGAGCAGGACCCAGATAGGCCTTAATTCTGAGTTCCTCACACACACCCAAAGGAAAAGTAAGATAGGATAGTCTCACTACAAGGTATTTGCAGGAAAAGAAGGGTTTTGGCTTTTTTTTTTTTAATGGTGGTCTTGTAATAGTTGTGGCATCTTTACACTGTGTTAATAAAAACAAAACAAAAACACCCAAGAAGCCCAAAGACACAAAATTCAGATCTAGATTTGGATTTTAAACACTCTACAATTTGAAGGCATTTGCATCTCACAGATACAGGTTCTGGGCTCAGAAACAAAAAGACAAATTTGCAGCATTATGGTCTAAGTAGGATTGACTTCTGGGTTCAGAATCTAACCTCACCTTTCTGAGCAAAGTTTATGATGGTTAGCACATATGGTTCATAACTTCTGGGATTGCGCTGATACCCACAATTATAATTTATAGGAATTTATGTTTAATGTCTGCATATAGAATATTTTAAATACACATATCCTCTCATGAGCCTCATGATAATGTTTTCCTTAAAGCCCCCACTCCTGCAGACAAGTGCCTATGTGATCATGTTAGGGAGCATTCTTTAAAAAAAGTTAAGGGCTAGCCCTCTTCTCTATAAAGAAAGCTTCCAAATGTGCCTCCTCCCCCACCAACAAAAGGCAGAAGGTAAATCCAGAGACCACTGATTCTATTATTTTTACATGACCTTATGATTATTAAAGCCAAAGCTCATGATTTTTGTGAGCTTGACCTGATTTTTGAGTATTTGGGGTTGGCAATACTGCCTGTGAATAGCAGGTCTCCCGCACTCTCTGGGGGTATGTCTACACTACCCCGCTAGTTCGAACTAGCGGGGTAATGTATGCATACCGCACTTGCTAATGAAGCCCGGGATTTGAATTTCCCGGGCTTCATTAGCAAGTGCGGTATGCATACATTACCCCGCTAGTTCGAACTAGCGGGGTAATGTATGCATACCGCACTTGCTAATGAAGCCCGGGATTTGAATTTCCCGGGCTTCATTAGCAAGTGCGGTATGCATACATTACCCCGCTAGTTCGAACTAGCGGGGTAATGTATGCATACCGCACTTGCTAATGAAGCCCGGGATTTGAATTTCCCGGGCTTCATTAGCAAGTGCGGTATGCATACATTACCCCGCTAGTTCGAACTAGCGGGGTAATGTATGCATACCGCACTTGCTAATGAAGCCCGGGATTTGAATTTCCCGGGCTTCATTAGCAAGTGCGGTATGCATACATTACCCCGCTAGTTCGAACTAGCGGGGTAGTGTAGACATACCCTGGCTGTGTCTACATTGGTGCGATCTTGCGCCAAAGCGGCCGCTTTTAAGCAAAAAATGCTGCCTGTCTACACTGGCGGGGAGTTCTTGCGCAAGAACACTGACGTTCTAATGTGTGAAATCAGTGCTCCTTGCGCAAGAACTATGATGCTCCCGCTCAGGAATAAGCCCTCTTGTGCAATTGTTCTTGCGCAAGAGGCCAGTGTAGACAGTCAACATGAATTTCTTGCGCAAGAAAGCCCGATGGTTAAAATGGCCATGGGAGCTTTCTTGTGCAAGAGAGTGTCTACACTCACATGGATGCTCTTACCCAAAAACACATCTCTTGCGCACAGGCACGTGCCAGTGTAGAGGCTCTCTTGCCCAAATACTTTAAGGCAAGAACTCTTGCATTAAAGAGTATTTTTGCAAGATCATGCCAATGTAGAGGTAGCCTCTCAGCTTAGTGCCATGGGGAAATGTCCCTTCCCTCTTCCAGGTGGGGAGTCACTGCCCTCCCTCCCTCCCCCAGCTTTCCCTGGGGCTGAGGCAGGAAGGCAGAGCCT